GGTGGCCTGTTACCTGTTCTGAACCGAGTGGGCCAAGTGATGTGACTGTAAAGAAGAAGAGTGATTACCAGATCTTGTAGATCGGCTTTGAATTGTTCTCCGATTGTGGCAGAAGTTTCTACACAATGTACTTTGAAATCGCCCATGATAAGTATGTGAGTGTAAACTGCATCTTAAAGCAGTCGCTAGAGTTAGGGGGCAGTACACCAAGACAAGGAGGCAAGCGTCCCTGTCTTTTAACTGCAAGTGGCACCAAAGCGAGTCGGGGAACTGCGAGTCTGAATCTTCCACGGCTTCGCACTGTAAGTCGCTTCGGTAATACAGGATTACTCCTCCTCCTTTTGTGAGCCTGTCGCTCCGGATCAGCGACATGCCCGATAGCAAAACTTCAGCGTCCGTCATTCCCAAGTGCAACAACGCTTCGGTGATACCAATGACATCATATGACCCGTAAGCTTGGCGATCTTTCAATCCGGTCAGTTTATTAAAAAGACCCTGGGCATTCGTATATAAGCAGGCCAGTTTCTCGGTCTCTAGGAGCCAACAGAGGGGTGAAGGGGTCAAGTGTAGGAGAATGCCGAACGATCGGAGGTTGGCAGTTAGTCGTTTTTTTGATGGGATAATGATACCTTGTTGCAACTTGCTTCACAAAACGAGCAGAGATTGAGGCATTTAAGGGGCGTCGAGTTGGGCCGCAGCTTGACTGTCCGGAAATGGTGATCGCTTTCCGTAAACAAATCCAGTGTTGTTCCACTTCTTGCGGTGGATTGCAACCGAGTGCGTATGCCAACGAATACTGATAGCTCGCTTGCACAGAGGAATCAGTTAATCTGTTTACAGCAATCTTGCAGTGCTTCGTGTTTCAGGACCACCAAAACACATGCAGATTTTCGCGCAGACTAGTGCAGGATCTGAGTCAACGAAGGTGGACCAAAAGGACCTGCAGTCTAGTACGCTGCCACGCCATCTGAAGCTAATTGCAATGTGATCAATTTGAGACCGCGGTTGTGTTGGTGAAGAGGGACGCCATGTTGTGGAACGCTTCTTCGTACGCCTGAAGTTAGCGATCGAGAGAATCAAATGGTTGTCTTAGCACAATGTGAGAAGCCTCTCTCCGTTATCAGAGCAGTGCTCATCGAGCGCGTGATGACTACCAAGGTGGCGTTCGTATGGTAACAGGCGGACAACCCGTGCATTAAAATACCCAGCAAGGACGACGACATCCGACTTTTTAGCATTAGTCAAGAGCTAATGTAGATCCCGGTAGAATTGGTCCTTGACCGAGCCGCCACTTCAGTCAGTTGGAGCGTACATGGAGATCACAAACAAGTTGCGTCTCTCTTCGCGGTGCCTGTTGATTCTACATGAACCCTGAAGCCGAACTACACATAGTCGGCTGTTAATCGGGAACCAGTCCAGTAGTGCCGCTTCGGCCTTGCCACTTTGTGCTATACCTACATTAGCCAAACCCGCTGAGGCTGCTTCTGGATCCCCAGAAAGACACAGATGATATCTGGCTTCGTGGTCAGTGTGGGATGTCAATGTAAGCACAGTTTTGGGATCTTGCAATCGGGTTTCTGAAAGGCAGCAGACTTCAATTTCGAGGGACTCTAGGGTGTGCGCTAGACCGGCTTGCTGTCCAGTCTGCATGAGTGTCCGAACCTTGAAGAACGCCAGAAGGAACGAGAATCGAGGACGAAGGAGAGCCATAGGTTGAACTCCATGGTCTGCGGCGCAACCAGAATCGCAGCCAGATTGTTGAACACATGAATCGAGTAACGGAAAGTAAGGATTGTTAGTAGACAAACAATTGGCGTGTGATGAAGTAGCGTGAATGTGAGAAGCAGAAACGGTAGCTGATGAGCACGTTGTAGTACAGTCCATGGTTTTGTGAGAGGGCGTGATACTACCTGGTTGCCCAAGCCGATGTAGGGAGTTGATTTAGGGGACCCCACCCCGAGCCTTTGGCTAAATAACCTACTCGCAACGCAACACCCATTGGGAGGCACTGACTGAATGTTCAGTTCATGCGTGCTTCGTTTAGTGGATCACTAAAGAGGGACCCAATACTCCCCATGAAATTAGCACAATTGCTGGACTACAATGCTCCACAGAGGTGGAACACTGACGTCGAACACTTAGCTGGAACGGGGTACACCCAAACCACACAGCTGGCACCACGAGGAGGTAGTTCGGCAAGCCAGCCATAGTGGTTGGTAGCTGTCGCCGAGTTCGAACTAGGAAAAAAACGCGTCGTGGAGTGCAGAGAGAGAAACACAAAACCCTCATCATGGCTTGTTTAAATGAGTCAAAGTAATAATGTCATCGTGCCTTTGGGGGTAGTTTATGGGAATGCAGGAATAATATATGACACGGTTTTCTGCGGCAACCATACTGAGTTCACTTTGCTGAATAAACGCTTGGCTCTGAAGGACGACATTTGCGACAACACTGGTAATGTCTTTAGATTTAAATGGTCACTTTCAGCTATGAACAAGTATTGCTAGACTGCCCCTAAGATACCAATATGGGCACACGTAAAACGGAGCTCATGGATTGCATCGAACGCAAGCGAATTGGTTGGCTTGGGGTTAAAGTCACCCTTTCTTCTGCAAAGACTGTTGAACGGGAGTACACCTTTCGCTCCTCCAAATTGTAATTGTAAGCTGAAACGGCCGCTCCTACTCTCAAAATATACCACACAGCTATTCAAAGGAATCGATAGGTTGGCTTATCTGGATATATGCATCATATCTGGTGACCAAACCACTGAATATGTTTTGACGCGTGTTGGTAAGCTCTCGGTGGCTGTGCAGTGCATCAACCATCCATGAACACAAGTCTATCAGCCAGAAGTGGGGTGTGCAAGTCTATAGTGCAACCGGCATTGCCGTACTAACCAGAGGCATGGCAACTACTTGTGAAGGACAGAGAAAGTGATTAGCTCTGACTCTCAGTGCCTGTGCGCATAGCTAACCAGAGTACCACCATCTGATGTTCACTAACAAACCATATGGCACAACACCAGGCCAAATGATACATTGGGAGTGCTCACATATGCGGAAACAGGCTCCTCGTATGCCATTGCACCGGGTACCTCGGTATATGTCCTATCCGGGCACTGTGCCTGGTTGTGTGACATCTCAGATCGCCCAACCGGTCGCATGGTAATAAGACCTGTAAAAACGAATCGACGGACTAAGTTGGGATAGTGCAGCCGGGCCTCAGGATGGGTCATATAGGGAACAGAAGACAATGGCACTCTAACTCCTGACCGTCGACCTTTTATTCGACAATTATGTTATACTACTCAGGGATAGTTTTGGCCATAGTTGTTTTGTAAGTTTACCTGTTTTTACCACCTGTTATTTTCTTTTCTATCTCTCGGTGTGCGATGAGCCAATGCAATAGGATCCGCTGCGATTCGTTACTGGGATCAGAGTTGACTTACTAAACTGAAGTGCAGGGAAGGAATTATTAGGGAATATGTCACGTTTACTGTTTGCAGCGAGGTTCGTTCTATTTATAAAACAGGAGTGAAAGTGTTCCAAAAGAGGGTAATGAATCAAAGTGGGGCTTTTGAGTAATGATTTCTAGACAGTAGGTGAATACAGTCACCAGCTCACCTCGTCACCCTGTAAAACGATCGAGGAGTGTGAGATATGTCGCAAATGACATCAAATGCCACCTCATACTCAGCCTAGTTGGTTAGTGGAACCCCACGCTAGGCGACACAGAGTGAAGCGATGGAATTCGTCGGTAATGTGAGGGTCCGATGCCAACGAGCAGGTGTCGATTCATGTGCATGACCACCAATAAGTTCTCGAAACACCCACTCTCTCGTCATTCCACAATTTAGACCAATTATCTAACGTGGTTGGTGATGAATAGAAAAGTGCAACCATTACAACACCAGTGAATTAGGCGAGAGAATGAAAACGGCGTGCACCTGCCTTGCATTAATGGAGAAACAAAGCCAGTGACATTTTTTTCCAGTACTAATAAGCTGCAAATTGATAAATATGATGTATCACCCTGTCATATCATTTAGCTCAACAACGGGCTTCGTATACATTTGTACCTAACGTTGATATGCTTCAAATATGGCCCCAGTAACCGAATACAAGCGGTCTAGGTTGAGACTGCACATTGCAAACCATTCACACAACGAGCGCCTTAATATGATAACCAACTAATTGCAGACAGCTTTCATGTCACTCTCTGTATGCGAACGGACCTTATACGCTGTTTGTATAGGGTCAAATGGTCACCTTATCACAAACTCTATCTTAGCCCCAGCACATTAGTGAAGTGTTTCGTTGAGAAAGGACACCTTTCGATGTCCACAAACTCGAAATTTAGCATGCCGTGGGTTAATTTTAAAAATCGCCACTGTTTACGTTCTTCATTGTCTATACCGTTCTCTGGTTAGCTGGTCTCCTTGTAAGGGACAAAACCTTGCTTGTACGGTCGACATAGCTTAATTCCAGATCCAATGGATGATGCAGTTGATTTCCCTGTTAGTGCTCATTTCGACGCAGGTAATGGGTTCCCTGCTAGACTTCCAAATGACTCTTTTCACCCACTACAAGAATATCTAGCAGAAGCTCAATCGGGTGCTTATATGCGTTCTATGGCCACATTTCTAACGTCTCAAACTGTATTGTACCATAGTTCGAAATTGCCGAATTTGTCACGCCTACTTGCTAAACCGACGAAAGTTATCGATGTGACACGGGAGCACCTGCTCTAGTGCCATATGCACCAAATTGTTTATTTATAGAAGTTTTGCATTTTTGGTGACGCTATGTTATTACATCTCGGATCGGCAAATTAGGATGCTAAGGATGCCCCAATACAGGTGCATAAAGCCTACTTCGACCACACCTGTCCATGTTTGGAGCAGAGGCACAGAGACTACACATGCATATTTTCCATGCCAACACCAGGAGATTCGTCATTGTAATCCCAACCCAATTCTTTGCTGCATATTTTTCTAGGTTCTGGAATGTTCCGTTTTGGATATGCATAACCTCCGGACTGTCTTCCAAACAATACACAGAGACAATGGTACGCATTTGGGATGAAGTCATCACTCTGGTTATGTATGTGCTCTTGATGGTGAGTTTAAACGTGTCACTTGGCGGCAAAGTAACAAAGTACCGTAAAAATGAATGCCCTGTCGAGAAACGCAGTGGATGTGAACAAAACCTAGGATGTGTTAGGCAGTCCAGCGACGGCATCAATCTGCTAATGAGGCATTTGAAAAGTTTCATACCATGAGTGAGACAGATGACCATTTGGATAGGTTTCCATTGAATTGAACTCCTAGCCTTTTGATAATCCCTAATGATTATGCGACCGACGAAGACTGCGTGGGCATCAGCCGTACGCCGGTACACCGTACCGACGGTTCTTTGCCACGTTACCACTAACAGTCGCGCGCATGCAGAGTGTACCAACGCGAATTCGAACTGATGACCTTCGGGTTACAATGGAGCCGCGTAATGCTTTCGACCACCAGCCGACACGTGAGTGTCGTAGGAAGGCATTCCTAATTCGCTCAAACGTGTGCACTTCAACCGCGATGCGAGTAGTAAAGAGCGACAGATCAAGACGATGTGTTACGTAGAGTGCGAAATATGAAAGGCGAAAAAACGATAAAATAAAATTGAGCTGGTGCACTGATAATAATTCGGAAGAGAGTAACTGTAAAAGGGATATTATTGCACTATAAGTGACACTGTTGCTAAGTACTGGGTTGTCGACCCGGCAGACAAATTTCAGACACTAGACACAAAACGACTCGACTGACTGTCGGTCGGGTTTATCCAACATTGCCATCAGCCGGTGGTACTCTCGTGTTGTAAGTTAAATTGAGCGGTTGATATGCGGGACCAGTGAACCAGTAGACGTTGGTTGCCAGACACTATTTGGAGACTTAAATGCTGCCCTCCTGGGATCCGAAATGGATATAAGTGATGCTTCGCAGGCAGCGAATCGAAGAGGTTATAGACGATGACTGTTAACGCGCAGCAGGCCATCTTAGTGGTCTATACTAGCGCGGAGTGAACAGCAGCCGTCCACATCTCGTTGTTAAACAACGATCTGATGTTTCATTGACTGCGTTTTTGGTTGCAGAAGCAATAAAAAATAAGTTCCTAATTGGTGCGTGAATTAATGCATTCGATTATCGGAAGCAATTATAATCCAGATGGACAATTTCCAACGTTTATTCGGCAATGGTGAAAACAGTAAGCAAGACATGAGAGGTGGGTTCAAATTGGTTCGGCAACAAGTTCATCGAGACGTGGTTGAACTACTCTACGAAAAGGAAGTGGCCCGTGCACTCGTAGCCAAGTAAACATGACGAACTTAATGTGAAGTTGCGAATTCAGTCTTCCGGAAACTAATATAGGTGCATTCCCACATAAACATCCTTGACACACTGTTCAGTCGTCGTCATGGGGAAGAAATGCGGAACTCAGTGTCTCTTGCTGTTCATAGGAAATTTTGTTTCGTTGAAGATTGAAAAATGGATGGTATCAACTCGTCAAATGCAATTTTTGCGGCTGTCAAACTTTGTAGGTGATCCGCTATAAGATAAGGCAGAATGGCCGAAGTGTGGATTCGCTAGTGTCTGATGCGACCGGTGCGATTTTCTCCAATTCCACAGCGTAGCCTACTGAAATATGAATCAAAGCGTTAAACGAAATCCAGAGCCCAATGAAAATCCCGCCATTCGCTCAAGGCTGTTAGAACATGTACATTGCAAACAAAATCAGTATCCTGGTGAAAAAGGGACTGGGGGCGTGGATATAGCACTCTTCAGGACTCGTGGAGCTTCTGGAAGGTTGCTTAAGTGCATGGACGGGCCTCCGCCTCAGTAGTGTGGGGTAGGCGTTGTGCAAGAGAGCTGGATGGGCACTGGCATGGGTTTTTCAGTCGGATGAGCCGTATCTCAGGTCGACCGTGCGAGTCCTTATACGCATGTCGCGAAGTCATTGAACCGAATATTCCATCGTAAAAGCGGAAAGTTGATCAGGCAGCGGCGGTCCGTGGCAGGTAACATTCATCACTCACTTGAATAACCACGTGATCCCATGTGAAATTGGTTACCACTTTAACCCGTTCAAGTGTGACTTGGTTTACACATGGAAGAAAAGCAACGATTAGTTTGGAGTTGAGGAAAGAAGTTAAAGTTAAAGTTGGACTTCGGGTGCCAGTGTTGGGATGAGCAACACTATAATGTTTCCATTTTACTTACGGTCTAAGTGAAAGTTAACTTTTGGTGGGTTCAATGGTCGAACGTTGCTGATAACGTACCGAGCAGAAAAAGTGGGAGGTTAACAATGATACGGAACGATCGTTATATTCCTTCCAAGGTAAGGCTCTAGGGATGCGAGCAGCGCAGACTTGGGTGGAATGAATGCTTAACGCAAGCTTTGATTAGTACAAAAGATTATTAAAATCACCTCTCATTGGCAAGAACCAATGTAATAGTTCCTCATACGAAAGTTGATAACGTTCGTAATGCGCAAGTATACTGTCTTGTTGTCAGCAATCTTGAAAGAGATAAGTGGTAAAAGTAAATAGATGAGTCCGATGGACCTCCTTTAATCAAATGGTCTCTATCGTTTCAGCTATTGCTCAGACCGGAAAACATTAACAAGGTATTTCCCCTTCAAAAACAACAACAGCAGCAACAACAACCCGAAAGCAAGAGCCACGAAGCTATGGTGCCACCGAAAAGCCCGATGCCAACGATTAAAATTACAAGTCCTCCTTCGACACCGAAATCGACCACAAGAGAAGATACACCTAAACACAAAGTAAAAGGCGTCGAAGAACCGAAAAGTAGCAAACCATCTTCACCTATGCGTGCACCGATGAAGCTGCCTGCTATAGGAGGAAAACCGGGGGATCTTCCACCACCTGGATACTCACTAGCCAAAAGCATCGCAAATCTAGGTGCCGAAGTACAATTTCAGCAGCGTCCAAAAACAACATCCGGTTTGCCCAGTACAAAGCCTAGACAGCCTCTTAATGACAATCTTTCCACAACGTGACAGAGTAACAACGACGATGGGCCCAACCGTTCTAGCAATCTTATACTACGCTCACCTGAGCTTAGGTTTAGATGCATTTAGTCTGCTGGCTACAGGACATGATAAATTTTTGTCTACCTCGCCTGTTTTCTTATACACATTGAGATAAGATGGTGGACAAGTACTAAATTGGTATTTCATGGAATTCTTAAAGACCCACAGCACAAATTAAGTTCGGTGCGTCAAATCTCATCTATGCACCAAAATGCGGTGGATCCAGTTGCCTTGACACATGTCGAAGAAATGATGATAATTCGGAGCGAATGAACAAGCATTTAAATCCTCAGACGGAATCCATGTCCGCCCAAATGGACGACCAGTCGTCCCAGTTAGGCGTGTTGTTGGTCACTCGCAGACGGTAGAAGAATATAAGGAAAGAAAGGGTGTAATATGTTCAGATATGTTACCAAATATCATGATGCATCATTGACGCTTCCGGTTCGTACCTATAAGTCTTTACTTATTGATAAAATGGTACTTGCAATCAGCGCAAGCGACCAATAGACTGTCGTTGAGTGACAGTTTTTGTGCTCCTGGCCGTCCCAGTGAGCTACATTTGGTACGAATTTCGGTCACTGAAAAAATTTCCTGTGTAGTCTTTAGTACTGCGTTATTACAGTTTGAGGACCCATTTGGGCTTATTGTTGACGGTATTTGTGGCCAGGAAAATGCATTCACGGTGAATGTTATGGCTGCGTAAGGAAAATGTTTTCCGAGTGACCAAAATTCGTCATAAATGTGTCTTACTGAGATGGCCAGAGGCATAAAAAACAATCGCTCAGGGAGTTCCAACGGTCACTACAGCGGACATTACTCCGGTAGCTCGTATTATGCGGGACGGCCAAGCGTCCGGAAAGGGGGACGAATGCAAGATCGCCACTGACCCCGCAACAGCGTCATATCTGAGAACGTTGAACAGGGTCTAGCCAGAAATGAGACATACATTCAAGTCAAAGGTATGGTTTGAAAGTGAAGACATAGCCAGTATCCAGGAGGAATGATTACATGTCGAAAACGCTGCGGCTATAGAGGTTCACGACTTGTCACCAGGACACAACAGTAAATCGCAGATGATAAGCCCACTGCTCAGGATAAGGAGGTAAAGATGGACGGTGAGAAGCGAAGTTTGCAGAACAAATACGAAGACACGTCTGGTTGAATACATTCTCAAATAAGTTTACTCCGAACAGGCCGCCAAATGTCGGAGGAGAGTTCAACTAACGGGTAGAGCACACCTACTAGTCTCTAATCGTAATTCATTAGTTCTACTGATCCTGTAGGAGATTCATCAAAATCATTGAGCACTGTTCAGCAATGCGGTATCGCGACACTACAAATCGGTCATTGGCGTGTTTATCCTGCATGACCAAAACATGAAAACCAAAAACGATTCGCATATCGGTGCCCAGCTGAACCTTTGTATTCAAGGGGTGTTTCCAACCGCGGACGTGAACATTTACTGATAGTAAATGGTCGAGCATAAATGATACATTTTAAGCAGGGAGGGATCAAGGGAATTTCAGCGGTTGGATAATAGCGGCTGATTACAGGTGGACAGAGGAAATCGGAAATTTCCGGTCCAGGCTCCTAAATCAGCTGATGAAACCATTCCAGCTGTTTATCGACGACAATCATTAGATCGTGAACTAGACGAGGAAGGTGGGCAAAGTGAATATTCTAGACAAAACAAAAAGACCAGTTGAAGTGACTTCAAACTCATGTAGTTGCAACAAATATGAGGAAGATAGCGGTATGGATTTGATAACCATACAACTAAACCACTGAGGGATCAAGAGCACTCGTTAGAGGCGAAACGGTTAAAACACAGAAAGGAAAAGAATGCATGAGACAGTATGAAACAGCAAAGGCGCTGAGTGGCATATGCTTCCATTAGGCCCATTTGAAAGGTGGGGACCTTGTAGTCCTTCTGGGGGTCAAAAATCACAGAACGACTTATTAACAAGTTAGCAATTAGATGTGAAAGAGAGAAAACAGCTGCAGAAGCGCGTTGCACAGCTGAGTTTACAAGGGTGAAAAATATACGAGTGGGTAGACAGCCTGTACAGTGAATTGTAGACCAAACATATCGACTGAAAGTTCCAAAGAGCGCAATGTAATCCGGATTGGAAATGAAATGACGCGGTCATCGAGGGGTTCATGACCAATTGGAACAAGTTTTGAGAAGACACAGGGTGAGTGCACACCGAATCTACTGGTGAATGAATCATTCAGAACCAAATGTGGCTGTGAAAATGTAGCTGTGGAAATAAGTGAGAGGAACTGATTCCGCATGAAACTTTACAGTTAGTTGAGCCAAAAATGTCAAAGCAAAAATGAAGATTTACATAATTCGCCAGGGATTGAATAAACTTGGTAGAGGATAAGAGTTTACGCCTACGAGGCTGAAGAGTGGAATACCCAAGTTTGACGTACGTCCGTAAAACAACTTTTTATGGCAGTTTCAGTATTTTTGTGGGATGAAAATGCTACTGAAATCAGGTTTACCATGAAAGACAAAGATGTGATGGCGTCCACGGCGGGTAAATCCGATGCAGTTAACTTGTGTCCGTTGCAGAGGTCACCCAAATGGAGTCAAGGGGGCGTTGGGATCGAAGGGCTTGATAGGTCTTCACAAAGGCCTGTCTGATGCGAGTGAGCACGTTGTCGTCATACAATGAGCGGGCTGCATTGCTCTGACAGAAGGGTTCTGGAAAAGTGTGAAAAACAACTAGCTAAGAATTGCTGCAAACGTAGATGTTAAAAAGATTGGAATATCTTACAAAACAAAATTGAATTTTGCATGACGGATAAAGATACGGATCACGTGCCCATGTTGAGACAATAAGAGTGCAAACCTAAGATAATATGCATTAAACAAATCAGCACAGAAGTATAGGTAAACAAACGAGAGGTGGTTGTTTAGAATGATTGTTTATACCTGGATGGTCAGTGAGGGTGTGCGAGGTATAAGTGGAGAGGAATGACAGAGGATGACCAAAAGGGTTCAGCGAAGTAGGACGCAAATCATAGACCGTTTGTGTAAGGGATAAAGTGAGACGATATGATCAATCCAATGCTTTCCCACAACGGCAAGCAGAACGTCATCCATTTTATCTACGAGTAAATGTCGAAAAGATGGTCGACCCGGTTCATTTGCAAGAGATATGACTTCTGATGTACAGGAGGGAGGTGTTAAAAATGAAGACACCATAACCCAACTGTTAACAGGGCACCAAGACATGCTAGAACACAAAAATAAAATAAAATGATCTGAGGAAGTGATATAAAAACATAAGTTTTTGATTGGCCCGTATAAGGATCACACGCCTACTCTAATCGGACTTCAGGTGGTGTTCAATATATATTAATGGGAAAACGAAGGTGTATTTCGCATCCAGTTCGAGGTTATCACACGATACGATGAATGGATTTAAGCAACCGGGAACATTTAGACAATATATATATCCCAAAATGTGCTTTCTAGGCGTTTTGAATATCATAAGAAACGTGTGAACATAGAATCCAACGACTGATGAAACTGTTTAGTGGATGCAACACCGATTTACCTTCTACAAAAACTTTAAAACTCCGCGCGGTATGTGCCTGCTCGTGAGGTGGCAGACGACGAATTACTACATCGATTGGAAGAGGAGCGCCATGTCGAACGGAGACTGCCCAACGAGTGAAATCAAATTCATTCGTATAGTAGTGTATAAATCCGACGAATAGGTCTGCAAGGCTGGCAGGATTGTTTGAGCGAAGCTCGGACCACGGGAGTTCCAAACGCATATCCAGTTCGGACAAAGGTCGGGCATAGTTGAAGATTTTCTGAGTTTGAAACCGACAAAATAAAGCTCACAAGAATGTCAGCATAATGCCAAATAAGAGCAGAGTTGATATAAAGGTCGACAACTCCAAAGCTCGATAAGAAATAAAATGTGACAACTGAACTCACAAGAAAAGGAAACGATAATGAGTAAGAGCACAGTGTTCACACAATGAGTGGTACACACAATTCCCTAATGGAATTACCGCCATCCATTTTCGTGTTGTAAAGTTAACACAACAGTACTCAACAGCTGTAGTGTCTCTGGCATAGTGAGGAAGTCAAGGGAACAAGGGATGTGGTGTTTCGTAATCCCAAATTCGCACATTCGGTAAGCAGACACCCGGTTTTACAAACTGAGAGCTGAGGACCTAAAAGTCAGACCACGCCGAGTCGACACAGGGTTAAGCACAATGCAGTACAATCCATATTCCGGAGGGGTGGGGGGTGGGGACGAACATTGGAGCGAACAGTGTCAAGTAAGTGTCCTTATCTATGATCAGCAACCACATTATCCAGTGAATTTAATCGATTTTGTTATTTTCATTCACTTAGCGATGTAAGGCGAGGCCACAGTGTTCATCGCACTTCCATACACGGAACACAGACGATTAACTGCCCAACCATTGGGCGATTGAACCACACGGGGCTCAGGCGCAAGTGACGGATAAGTGTTCACTTAGTCCCCTTGGCAGCCCAGAAGAGCAAATGTTCTGTCGGAATCATTAGGAAGGATGGCCACAGAGAAGTCAATAATTCTACTACAATGGAAGAGGATAAATAGATCGATAAGGACATGGTTCACACTTGTATCGTACAGCTAAGTGGATACCGGGCTTCGTCAACATTTGCACTGACGGTTGATGGGATCTAATGCGTGGTTCGAGACTATCACAGGAATGTGTGTCATTGTTGAAGCCATGAAAGAACTGGTGGACCGGAAAGTACGCTTTTACGTACGACAACCAGAAATGTGAGAAAACTAGGCAAGTTTGTCTCCCATCGTACATAATAGACTGTTTGATGCAAAAGAATGGGAGGAAAATGAGGTCCACCATAAGACACAAAACACAGTACCGGATTTACCACAAGGGACCGTAAACGGCCTCGCAAGTAGACACAGCTGGGTAACACAGAAACAGCTTGAAGGGAGCAACGAAAGGTGATGAAGAGCTGTTAAAAGAAACGCTCAGCGGGCTTCGTGTCAAAAAAGCTGTAGCGAGTAGAGACATTTTGGAAAAGTCAGCTCCGTTGAACACGAGTAAAATTCGAAGTTCAAGAGCGATCCGGTACTCAGCAACCGGATCGGTGAGTCTGGGAACACAGAAGATGGAGGAAGCCGCTACACTAACGTAGTGTGTTAACGGGCATCCAGTACACTCGACGCAGACAGCGAACGGTCCGGTCTTTCCTTATGCCGCCAATTTCCCTATCGCTGTTGCCCATGGTTGCGGTACCGTGCAAGTGTTCGGCTCATGGATGACAGATGTGGACGAACAGTGCATCGACCAGAGAGCAAAAGTGTCCGGCACAAGTGGTTCCTTTTCGAATGAATCGAATCAACTGACCCAGAGTAGCCTAGCAACGGCGTGTTGCAAACAAGCACACATACATAAATCGTGTAACAATGGAACTCATCCAGAATCGCGTAAATTGTAGCTGCTTCCCGCTCATTGCGCTGTATATTGGGGGATGCAGACACGGTTCCAGTGACTGAATCCGCTAAGGTACACTCCAAGGTGAAATGAGACCCAAGTTGAAATAGTGTATTGCAACTGAAATAAGGTTTCGAAATGGCTCATCAGTCGTTGTGGCAAGCGTTGCCCTCGTCTCGGTGGTGTAGGGATATAGAGTTTGGTTGATATTCTACCGAACGATGGCTGCAGCTATTCGCTAGCTGAAACCTAATTTATGCAAACAGACTGAGTTTATGACTAGCCTCACCATGCCCGGGTGATTTCTTTTTCGGATTGTTTCAACTCCAAATTGAATGACCTTCAACGTGTTTCTTTTTATACGCAACATATTCCCACGGATTTTATGTTAACAGCTGTATACAGCTGTATACAATGCCACAGTGAGGGCCGTTCTGCTCTATGGTAGTGAAACTTGGCCCCTTCGGTCTGAAGATCTGAGGCGCCTTCAAGTCTTTGATCATCGTTGTTTGTGAAGCATTGCTGGTGTCGGATGGCACCAGCGTGTCCGCAACGATGATGTGCGTAGGCGAGTACTAGGTGGTGACAATCATGCTAGCTCCCTAGAACAACAGATAGCACTGAATAAGTTGCGTTGGCTCGGGCACGTGCTACGCATGCCTGGTCACCGCTTACCTAGGAGGGCCTTATTCAGGCTACCAGGTGTAGGATGGCGCAAGGCTCGAGGTGGACAGAAGTTGACTTGGCAGCGGGAAATGAAGTCACTAACGACCAAACTGGGTGCCGTTGATCCGTCTCGCCTTCCGGGTTGGAGTCCACGTGACTCACCTTGTGCTTGGCTCGAGACTTTACAGGACATGGCTCGCAACCGACATCAGTGGCGCGTCTGCTGCCGTCTCCTAATCGGGTTGTCTGTTTAAAGTGTGTTTGATGCTGAGTTATCTGCGGGGTAATGGCTGATTATGACGCGTGGCAGTGAAAGCCGCAAGGAAGCTGTCTCGCCGATGCCGCCTTATCTTTGCACGATAGCCAGCTGTTTGTGACGGAATGTTGTCTACACAAGGTGTAGGCGCCTTGACCCTGAATGTTTGCTTAGGGCATTAAGGTTTTCAGGTAAGTCCCCTTCTCTCCCTCTTCTTATTCTTTATTTCATAGGTCCTCATGGTTGTATGGCAGCGAAGCATCAGTTCAAATGGCTGATGTACTGCTGTTGATGATGATGATATCCGAACAATCTGAATTCAGAGTATCCTGCTGAGATGTTGTTTCTTCTTGCTATCTTAAAATTTGTTAAGGGAAAATCCCGCATCAAGCGATTATCATCATCAGTACACATAAGCAACAGGAAGGGAACATACTTAAGCGTCACAATGCAAAAAGAGAAGATATATGAGAAAGCGATTCACAAAACACTATAGAACACAATATAAAAACCAAAAGTAATGTAGTATCATATTACGCATCTGCTGCGAGATCGTGGATGGAGGGGGACAAAGAGACTCGCAACACAAACACCACTGAGGTCGGTTCCTAGCAATGTCAACAAGCGTGTCTGACTAGACGTGTTCGTCGCCCTTCGGACCCCAACTCGATGGTCATGAGATACCAACTGACGCCAAAGTAGAAGTCAGTCAAGTCATCACTCAGCCACCCATCTCCTTCTTCCATCCAAATCCCGGTCGCACAAACAACGCACGTCACGGGAGTCGGTGTGTTGGCATGAGCAACAGGTGGCCCAGCCACCTAAGCCTGGTGCGTGAAATAACGGTGCTGAACGGTTCACTCGCTTTTCCCGCACCAAAAGTACGTCGAACACGTTCAATGCTCACGCTCGGTACCCACCATATAAGACCTAAGTTGCGAATGCAGCGATGGTCGAAGGTAACTAGCCTCTCTATCTGTCGATCTGATGGACCAGGTTTCGCAGCCATACAGAAGAATTGAAGACGTGATTGCATGGTAGGCTTTGCTCTTCCGAGCGAGTGTCGTCGCGTCAGTGCCACAGGTAACGGAAACCGGCAAAAGTGCCTCTTACTTATGCTATACATTTCGTGATCTCAACTATGCCACAACCTGCCAAGCTAGTTGAATTTCCGGACGAATTCTAACTGATCACCACTAAGTGTTGTAACAGAAGTTGGTCCCTGGCAATCCTGGAGAAAGGACTTTGCATTTCAATGGAACAACGCATAGCCCAAAACGATTGACAACCGGTGCTAAATTGTCCAGTGCTGACTGACATGTTCGGTAGCTGTTAGAGACCAGGGTAATGTCGACAGCGTACTCTAAGTCAGGAGGTCGATCACCTGGGAGCAGCTCCACATCTCCTAAGTCGAGTCTAGTGAATGCAGTTTCCATCACTTCGTGAATGGCGAAGTGAAAAAGGAATGGTGATAGCAGGCAACCTTATCTTACATCGCTGCAAATCTTGAAGGGTGGCAACAGCTTGCCGTAACCCACAGTGAAATCGAGTGTGAAACTTGTCGTGGAGAACAGTGTTGCGAGCAGGCAACGGATAAAATTCCAGTAACTGAGATGCCGGTGTTTCACTTCCGCGGTCCTAGATTGAGACTGCGCGTCGAAATCCGCCCACAAAACCAGTGCTTCCAATGCATCAATGATGCAACCTGAAGCGGAAGAAATCAGGGAAGATCGAGCCCGGTCATCAGTGAGCTAAGTCCCACAGAAATTGCAGATATCGTTCGTCGACTGAGGCTGTAGAAAAATCCTGGAGCGGACGGGATTCCAGCGGAAATCTACAAATCTTATCTACCAGCTCTCCTTGACCATTTGCACGAGTTCTGCTCGATATGGGAGACCGAAATCTGTGCTTCCTCGTGGAGTACCTCAGTACTTCTGCCATCCCCCAAGAAAGGTGACCGAACTGTGTGTAGTAAGTATCGCGGGATTAGTCTAATCGATGTGGCTACCAAAACCTTCGCATTCCCGCTTTGCCAATGAGAGGAACCTGCGAACTCGCCAAAATCAAGGTGGCTTTCGACCAGGCAGAGGTTGCATTGAACAAATCTTTACTCTACGTCAAGTACTCGAACAACGCTACCAATTCCAGCAGCCCACGTCTGTGTGCTTCGTTGATTTCGGAGCTGCATTTGACTCAGTTGATTGTAAAGCACTCTGGAGAATCCTACTTGCCGATGGTGTGCCGGTTAAATTCGTTAGCTTGATGAGATCATACTACCGTTGCACGAGCGTCGGATTCCGAACTATGGAAAAGAAACAAATGGATTCGACATCAATACTGGAGTCCGGAAAGGTTGCCCACTTTCTCCAGTGCTGGTCAACTTCGCAGTCGACCGGGTTATACATCATGCCCTTGAAGGTTATCGTGGTGTTCAAGTTAGCCCTGACTTCTGGATGTCAGAGCTAGAATTTGCTGACGATATCGCTATCCTTGCGGAAGATGCTATATCACTACAGTCACTGCTAAATCGGGTCGACCAAACAGCCTCTATGATCGGCCTCGAAATTAACATCAGCAAGACTAAGTACTTCTCATCGTTAGCCACCCAGTCTGCGCCGTCGCTCTCCTTACGTGGACAACCCATCGAATCTGCTCCTGAGCTCAAGTATCTGAGATCCACTATACTCCCCAATAGTCAGGCTACATCCAAAATCCGGAATCGTAATGACAACGCTAGAACATCCTTCTTACAACTGAGAAACACATTGTGGCGAAGGACGGAAATCAGTCTGAGAACGAAGAACCGAGTATTTCTCAGCAACCATTCGTGCCATTTTACTCTATGATTGCGAAAATAGCCGTTGCGATCCGAAGACACCCGGAAGCTGGCAGTCTTCGACCATTGGTGTCTAAGGCTTATCTTGAAAACGCAGTGGCATGAGCGTATCACCAATGACGAAATCCGTAAGCGCTGTTACGGTCTTCTGAAATTCATAACGCTCGTCCAATGCTGCAGGTTTCAGTGGTTCAGTCAGGTCCTCCGCAGACCAGACACTGACTTCACCAGGGCTGTGGTCCCACTCTTCCCTTGCCAGGGTTGGTGTCTTCGCCGTGGTGGACAAATGAAAACGTGGCTCGCTGCAGTGAAATTGGATGTCGATCTTCTGGAGCTCCATGTTGTGCATGGTGCTCGTAGTTGGAGGAATCATTGGATCAGTATCTGCGTGCAGCTTGCCACCGACCGCCGGCGCTTGGGCAGCTGCAATCCGCGACATTCATGAAGCCGGCTCCTGTCGCAGGAGTTAGCCGCAGTAAAGTAAAAGTAAGTAAGTCTAGCATGGATAGGCAAATCAGCGTCCACGAGCCAGACCCATATAATGTATAAAACAGCCATTGTAAAAGAAGGAAAATACTGATGAGATCGTAAACCATGAGAACAATGGCAGTATGCAAAAATTGTTAGCGTACGGGAAACTTGGCTTGCAAATTCGGCAGGACGGGTGGTGAACACGCTGCTTGGAGGTAATGGATCAACATCAACAACAGCGGATAGGTGGACAGTCGTCCCCGGCTACCGTCGTGAATATCCATACGTTGAGCCCAATGTTTCACGAACATGCCCAGTGGCCTAACGCGCCAATCGACTGGAAGGGAAACAGAAATCGGGGGAATTATTTGGGAAAGAGAATTAGGCCAATTACCTACGTGCACATAGTAAGACAGCGTGATGAGTGGGGTAAAACAGAATCATTGGTATTTCAATCCTTTGTAGAGTAATGCACAAACGCCATCAGTTCTGATCGATGATCGAGAGAGCATCAAAGCCACATAAAGGTGGTACTAACTGGAGAGTAGTACATAGTGGCACAATTAAAAACTGGGACTCCAGATGAGGCCACGTAAAATCGTTACGGAGAGCGGACACATACCCCAGGTGAACCACAGGGCAGACGTGGGCAGGGCACAGAGACCTTCGTATACGGCACCTACTTCGTGTGTACATGGCCAAAAGGTGAGTGTTGTAAATTCCAACGACGTTGTTCACATTCAGATCACAATCGACGCCTGTGAGGGTGTCACGAAACTTGAGAATAGGAACCTTCGCGCGTATGAGGTGTAAGTTACGGATGAAACCTGTGGGGCAGTGGGTGAAGGGGAAACCATGTAACTGTTACCTTCTGAAAAGCAGAGGCTGGAAAATTTGAACAGATGTGATGGTTGCTCGAAAATGAGAGCGGTTTTTCGATGTATGCATAATGGCAGCATCATGTAATTCGGCAACTGGAATGTTTCATTTCGAATGTGCCATTAAAGAATGTGTGAGATTAATTAAGTAAATGGAAGATCCGATTGGATAAGTTTGCCATAAACCACCCGGCAGTTTATCACACCGAGCGTATCGACATGTCAAGAGAGAAGCAGTGACAAACAGCTATTTCCCATGTGCACTTACATGGTAATCTTATAGGACACAGTCGCCCGACCTTGAAGTAATGCGCTGTGAGTTCAGTTGCAAACGAACGATTGAACAATGCACTTGACTGATTAACAATTTCAATCAAACGGAGCGTGGTGAGTCAATTAAATGGAGTCAATTAAACGGACACTAACCGGATGTGCGCGATAAACATGGCAACGCATTGGTGACAATTCAAAGCGGAAGGTTTGTCCATCTTCGATTGGGTAGTTGGATCGCCAAAAACCATGAAACTCAATGTGACTTAGGTGCGCCTAGGTGTGCTGATAAACTGACGCCACATGTGACCTAGCACCATTTGCAGAGTAAAAGCTACATTCCCAAAAGTCAACAAATGCCGTTCACCAGGTTACCCAACAAATGTAGCCAATTGTAAGGAGGCACAGTGCGCTAATGTGTCAGGTTGATGGCCAATCCGGATCGATTCGTCGTATGGGATGGTGATGCTTGGGGCGAAAACGCCTGTACAGTCAGAGTAAGTAGAAAGGTGGATAGGTGATGTGCAAAAAATCCCCCAACTGAAAGTGCAATTTGCGAACAAGAGGACGTTCAAATTCACTTAGGTCGATAATTCCGATATATGGTCCAAACAAGTGCAGATACATGGTAATAGACTTAAACAACCATCTGAAAAGCGCATTGTAGTGAATATCGAGTGTAATTTGTGGCTCACAGGGCCGCAGTGTAGAATCTGCCGGACTCAAGGCAAAATGATGGCGCATCCTTCTCGTGCAACATCTGACAATTGTGCAATCCAGGGTACTGCCAACATTTCACAGGTAAACGACTCAGCATACTCGCTAAGGTTTCGCGATACTCAGTGTGCTGTGCATGACGGGAACGCAAACGGAAGTCGCTCGCATCAAAGGAGCAACCTGAAACAGGTGAAACACAGTAGTAGCAATGCAACTGACTTTTGCAGTGGTGCAAACTACATACTGTAAAGTATGAGTACAGTGCGTCGGGTTTGCGATAACTAGATGTGGTGGTAGCTGGCGAGCGAGCAGCAATAACTCCAGGCAGACTACATGATTGCTAGCTTCGATAGCCCCAAAGCGAACCCGAATGAGTGTATCGATGACATGAAGTAGATATCTGATTTGGAATAGCAAGAACAAAGCTCAAGTGGACGCCACGAGAAGAACAACCAGATGAAATGCACCGATTTGTGAGAGATTCTATTTGATGCGAGGTATAAAATGAGCTTGTGCCTTCTGAACAGCACAATGTTGGTCGAGGCCTAGGCTTTGATTTCGATTCACGGAGGGCCAGTACGATACAAGGCAGATGAGCTGAGGTGTCGTACATCCTGTGGTCGGTCAATCCGACACTATAATTATTTTCCTCAAACAGGCTGAGACAAACAGTCATGACAGGCTGCCTGAGAACCAGCACAAGGCACATGTAGCTGAACTTTGATGAAAGACGCGACATGCTGTTTGTTAGAGCAGCCTCAGATTTCTTTGTGTGACCGAAGCGATTCTAAGGGAATCCTGTGAGTGCTACGAGTAGCCAACGATCTGAGTGGGCTGAGGTGCTTGGTTCACTTATGAATGGTATACGCTGCTCGCTTCGGAACAAGCCCACGGTGGAAGAAAGTAGGTAAGAAGACAAAACCACGAGTTACCGGTAAAGTCGTGGAATAAGCCCATGCAGATGTAAACATTCAATTCATTCACTAGATTCGGATCGACGAACGATGCAATCTTGGTCAACCTCAACCTAGATTTCTTAGGGTATTGAAATGTTTTAACCAGTTGTATATATGATTAGCATGACGAGAATTGTCGAAATCTTTCCGCTGATACGAACACCCATAGCAAGTGCAGCTGACGCAGTCGGTAGTGAGGTAAAAATTGTTCATGCGTGAAATGTACTCACTGCACTTTCTCAACGGGGCTAACAGTTGACTGAGAATCACGAAGGCCTCCCTCTTCTGTTGGAGGTCCCGAGAAGTCACTGTAAGACACATATCCATGTCACTCTGGTCAGATCCGAATCCATTCATGGAAGAACCAACAATGAACAAGCCGGCGTCTAAAAAGGTTCAACCGCATTTATTACACGTGTGACCAATTTTTCCTCCATGTAGTCGTTCTCATAACGATAAAAACGTTATAAATAAAACTGCAATGAATGTAACCATAACCGCTTGGTCCAGCACGCATCAATCTAACAGTGAGGTAGCGAAAACGCGCATACACCAAATCCACGGCATCAAATCCTGAGAAAGTATAACAGCGGCCCCACCGTGACACAACAATTAATTAATAAATGATGTATGAATAAGAAAAAGACGAATACGTGACAAATCCAGACAAATAACCAAGCTTAGTGAGGATTGCAGCACAGAATCAGAAACTGCAAAAATGCTTCTTAAGCCCTGAAACGCAAAAAATGCAACGGTGAACACTTGCTCGTTTTGCTCCTTGTGCATCCGTATGCTAGACAGTATCCAATGAAACCAGTAGGTTATTATGAGTAATGTGGATTTTAGTATAATTAGTGATAATTCAGCACAGTCCACTCGCAATCAGTAGGCTGTGACACGTCTGGATAAGCGCCGGACAACGCTGTTTCAGCCTTCTGAGCCTCATCAGTGGTGCGCCTTTCGTCGGACCCCTGCCGGGTTCCGCTCCCATGACTTCCGGATAACAGCAGCTAGTGTCAGTAAGCTATGGGTGACGGCCGCGGACCTGCATGATTGATAGTTGAATATGATATATCCTTGCTCATATTCTACCATGCCAGTTACGGATTGTGCAGAGAATGGCAGTTAGCCCCACAAGCTGGGACTTTCCGCATAGCGACTGTGTACGACAAAGTACTCACAAGCCATACGGATGGAATTTAGATTACTAACGAGTAGTGGGAATTTTTGTATATTTAGAGATAATTCATCACAGCCACTCTCAGTCAGCAGGCATTGGCAAGTCTAGAAAAGCCCCAAACAACGCTGTTTCGACCTCCTGGGTCTTGATAGTGGCGCGATGGAAGGCGCCAGACTGCTGATCGAGTGGGGACTGTGAGGAATTATATTCAATGAAACTAGTAGTGCTTGGCAAATAGACAATTTTAAGTTCCAAAATTTATTTTAGTAAGTGCAATAGACCGAATGTGACGTTCAGTTGACTTTTGATGGGTCAAAGTGGGAACATAAGCTTAATTTGAAGAGCCTTCCAAGATCAGCGGACCTGAAGGGAAACCTAATTCCGACGTAAACATTGACGATCTTAGTGCTCAGCAAGATTCGGACGTTTGCCATGGAGTTGGCACCGTAATTGAGTTTTTGTAGCCAGAGGCACGCATGATTTGGATCACACAATTTCTTGTACGTATTCAAAAGGAAAGCTACTGATTTATTCCCAAGCTACACATATCAATAAAGCCCGTCTGAACGCAGCATTTGAGTGAAAGAGTAAAGGTCGTCAGTATTCAATGCACATGAGGCAAAACTCTAGCCACAACTAGAGCGAAGCTTGTGCAAATTGGCTCCATCTACATAGTTCCTGACTGTAAAGACTCCACCCGCAACCAATAGGAACCACTCGTGTCCCTCTTGGAAGTAATGAATTGGCAAATTATTGAACCCAAGCTAGCATTCAGTGATAAAAAGGTGCCCCAAAACAGGATAGTGGACATTTCCAACCAAGAGACTTGTAAGAGTCGAGTGAAACAGCGCCACTTGGTGGTGGCTCGGTTGCATGTTCGAATTCACCTGCACCATAGATGGGCGCAAACTGACGTAAAATAGCCGCGATCAGCGTGTCATCGAACCATCTGGCTGATTGACCCATCATACCCGAGACAATCCAGTAAGTTATCGCCCCTGGTAGTATAACGAGTACCATGTTCGTTATCTGGGATTTCCAGCCCCCAACGAAGGGGAGGAAAAGAAGTGAGACGAGTAATCTTGTCACTATCAACGTCAAACCGGTGCCTCTTTGGTTAACTCAAACAGTAGCAATCAGGCAAGTCGAACACTTTTGTAATTTCGTATTGGTCCGAAATGTGGGTCAGGTTCGTGTAAAGGACTTCACCGCCGTTCTTAAGTAGAGTGGATACCAAAAAAACCGGTATCGAAACGATGGAAAATTGTGGTCCCGTTTCGAAGTCTAGCTTCAGATGAAATACCGAACTAGCCGATCTTAGTTCAGGCTGAGTATTTTAACCCAAAATGGCTCAAGGAAAAGGGACTAAATGGGCTGTTCTTAAACGTGCCCTGTCCAATAATCCATGCGGTTATTCCCAACATGAATTCAAGTATTGATGCTGTCACTATTTGTTTTACCGACAGACTATTACTTGGGACCAGTGCACAGACAAGCGGAAACAGTCTGTAAAGATCACGCGTTCATCTCACTGCGTTCACCGGGCTGTTGTATGTAACACCTTGCAGCAAATTTAGTCCCGTCGTTCTCGTCGTCGGCATAGATTCTTCTGGATACCAGTAGATTCATGGGCCTGGCGAATAATATTACCGCATTAAGAACCTCTAGCACAGTGTGAGAGCGAGGACCCCATTCCACTGAAACGGGACTTCCCCAGAGTAAGCAAATGGAAGCTTAGTAGGTAGGTATTGCGACTTGTCGATTACCAACCGGGTTAATCGCCTGGTGTAATTTCAAGCGAAGTCCAACGCTAATAGACCCTCCATGGGATTATGATCGGAAACGAAGCACGCGCATTAAGACGTGTAATCATCAATGTTGTGACTACCCCACCTGAAGGTCTAACAAATACGGTCTATTTTGGTCAGACATTGGCCAGTGGCAGGGAGCATCAGGTAGTAATTCTGCGCTTGTGTCTGAAACGGTCGCGAGTTGGAAACAGTCGAGGACCGGTGCACAGTTGAGATAAACGCCCGACACGGCTCTCTCGCCCGGGATTAAGCCCAAAGGTCCCATCTAACAGAGCATCTGCGGAGCTTAGATTACTTGTTTTCGCAGTAACGTGTTAAATTCCTGATAGGTGTCTTTAACAACACTAGTACTTTAACCGACTGGAGCACATGCAGTAACGATGAACATCATCGCCGAGGAGAATCTTCGATGAAAGTTTACTGGTTCGTCCCAGCGACTCATAAACCAAATAGACTGGCCACTAATCCGGAAAAGCAGCAAACGACCGTTGCGCTCTATTGGGGCTCCTCAGTGGTGCACATCCTTCGACTTCACCAGAAACCGAACTCAACCGGTGACAGCTCGCACCACTAGCCTTCAGCTTATGCCACTGAGCTGCGGCTGGCTTGCTGAACAACGTCAGCTTCGTGCTAACTGGGTGGTTCGGGATTATCCCATTCCTGCGAATGGTGAAGTGGCAGTGTTTCAGGGCGTGGTGGGTTTACGCTTGTTAAGTTCTCCCACTATAGAAGGTCATATATATCAGTTTAACAGCACTGCGACATAGCGGAAGTGCCTCACCATTAAATAAAGCCACTGCACTTGTTTCGCTAATGTGGGGCATTGTATTCCAGCATACAGTTGCTGGATTGATGGGGAGGATCGGGTCCCTGTTGGTCAAACGACAGAACGAAAGGCAGATGGACTGAACAATCGGTCACCAGTTCCCTTGAATTCGCTCCACGGTCTTGTGGGCAAGACGTTTAGTTAAAGGTTCGGAATGCAGTCCCCGAAGAGAAGTACATACTTAAGCTTAAGCAACCAGGAAGTATCGCGCTCAGTGTGGTGTTTGTTTCTGAATGAAGACCATAACTTATATTGTTTTCCCTGGTTTTGGGCAACCCCATATGATGTCACTGCACTCTTCAGCTCGATCAATCTCGAACTTGCCAAAGAGGATATGATGGAGCTACGTCAAAATCAACCAAGCACAATGACAACCATGCAACCCATGAGTTTGTGTGAACTCTTAGACCTCTGCATGACAAGTTATTTCCGTTTTGATGGACAGATATACCAGCAACTGAAAGGAATGGGCATGAGATCCCCAAAATCATGGCTTACTGGAAAAGGCGTTATAAGAAGTTGCAGCGCACTGCATTGCCACTGATCAGTCCAAAGCTTTGCATCCGATATGTGGACACATTTGTCGTCCGAAAACGTAACAGAATACAGACAATATACCAGTTGCTGAACACATTCGTTGACATCAAATTTACAGTCGAACTGGAGGACAACAATTTACCATTTTTGGATGTACTGGTCAACATGATTATCAACGGGACACTGCAAACATGCTTATATAGGAGGAAAGCGCCTACGGATCAGATACTAAAGTACCACAACAACCACTCGAGGAACTAAAAAAGAGCTGCGTCCAAAGCCTGTTCAAAGGGCGGGAAAGAAGCCACATATAACGGGTATTTCGAAACAACTGTATCCAAGTAATCCTATCACAAACAGCTTGAAGAAACGAACGTCTCATCAACGGCAGCAGCCACGAGAGCAGACAAACAGACGAATGGTGCTCCCCTACAACAAGAACATTTCTGAATTAACAGAAAAGTTGTTACAGCCACACGGAATCTCGGTGGCTCACAAACCAAGTGCCCCTAGAGGAATTGATGTTTAAGCCTAAGGACAAAATTGATTGAGGCAACCAAAACAACGTTGTCTACAAGATAAAGTGCAGCGAATGGGACAAGAACCATATTAAACAAACGGGATGGAGGTTTCGTATACGGATCCGCCGCCGCCATAAGAAGACATGATCCAAATTTGCTGATTTCCGCATATGAAAATAAAGAAGTAAACCACTTCGATCTGGAAAGTGCGAAGATTCTGGTGCGTGGGAGTACAAAGCGTGCGAGAAACTTTCTGGAAGCATGGCACTCCATATTAAATGCAAGCAACCGACACAGTGAACTGGACGCAGCGTACCCTACACCAAGGTCAATGGACCGCCATCCCAATCAATTAAATCCGATGGATCAGAACATCAGACAAACAGGGCGGACGACGTAATTGAGCTCTGTAGTAACTAGACAAAGTTCACAATGAACAAGTCAGAGAGATCAAGTCCAAAGGTCTACTCGTCCAAAAAGCAGAATACGGACAAATGTCCAGCCAGTAGGATTGCTCGTCTACGCGACCAAATGTGGTTACATATAAAAACGTACGCACGCCATGCCCGACGCACTCATCGAGGCTTCCCTACCCTACTTACTACATGTCACCCAACAACGCGGCAACAAAATTTTCAAGCTCAGCAAACAGTTCGATTGCCACCAGAACAACCTAGGCTATCAAGTTCCGCTCTTACGCCAAACTCATAGCCCCACTGACGAGCCCTAAAAGGGCAAAACAACCGTTTGTTGTCCTTCCAGATTGGTGATTTGTGAGCTGCTGGGACGACTTTGTAAAATGAACACCATTGTTTAGCGTCGCTCTGCGCGATAGCCTTGGTCGATGTTCGTAAATGGTTGCAAACGAACGGTCGTTCAAGGAAGTACATATAACAAGAGATGATCCAGCACTTGGTAGGAGATCGAGGCCCCCGTACCTTGGCTTATATATATATATATATATATATATATATATATATATATATATATATATATATATATATATGGACGGTGAAAGTGAGCGTAGCTCGCAGTAGTTGGAATTTGAAAAGCCGCTGTGCTGCAGTTGATTTCAAAGAATAAAGAGAAGCTGCATGAGCATTAATTCTGCATCCGCCACCAGTTCCGGTAGAGCATCATTCCCAACTCCATCGATAATGGCTCAAGTCAGTGTAGCATTAGGATTCAGATAAAGTTGAAAACAGTATTAGAGGGACGATTGTGGATGACAATCTTTCCGAGTTGTCAGGCGTGTTTTAACCTAAGAAGAACTGGAGACGTGAAATGGTTTGACCGAGCAGAGCCGTGTGCTGGCTCCCATTCAATAGGAGACAAGCAAAAGTTCCGTAGCTATGAACTAGGAGCGTCGATGTAAGACGAAGCAGAGTGCCAATGTCCGGTTGACTAGCGACCCACAAGTTCTGTGCGGAAAAGACACCTTCGGTCAATGGTCGAAAGGAACACAGGTTTCCAGAGGTCGCCGGTTCGTATCCGATTGGGTTCGGATGAAAGCCTATGACAACACATCGACTACCGCGAGGTGCGTTGCTTGAGCGACCGGTGTGAATGGAAGAAAAGGAGAAGAGGCGAAGAGGTAAATTGCGCAGGAAGTACGAAGCGCTGGGCGTCAGTTGGTGTCCTCTGACTGCCGGGCTTGTGTCCCAAGGAGGATGAACATGTTTAGCTGGACACACTTGTTGTGAAGGCGAACAGCCGGCTTATTTTTCTCCTCCAACCATGATCTCACACTTAATGTGCAATATGAGACTAAGCGCCACACTACTTTTTGGTTTTTATGTTGTACTCTGTAATGTTTTGTAACTTACTATTCTCATATACCATAAGTTTTGTATTGCGGCACATTGTGTTTCGCATCTTCGACTAATGTGTAAAGATGATGCGGACGACGTTGCCGTATACACAGTCTAAGCAAGACCAGTGGTGGTCACTTGTCGGTGAAGCATCAGTAAGATGTGTCGGAGTACTTCTGATACCTTTCTTCGCTCTCAAGCTCAACGCGAAGCCAAGTTTCTCTTTGGATTCATTAGCAAATGAATCAGACAAGAGACCGATATGTTACAGCAGATCGTCGGTGCAACGCACATTCACAAATGAAGAAATTAGGAATGAACACATGCATTTAAGAGTGGGTTCCGAGTAAATTATTTTGACCCCAGTAGTAGCGTAGCTCAAGCAAAGGCTGAAATCTGGCCTAAAGGAGAGCATCCAACGAGAATCAGATACGGAAAAGTCATTTGAAATGTTATAACGGTGGCCACATTTTGTTAAGCTAAACAAATCGAATAAGTATGTAAAAGTGAAAATCATAATGGTTAATTGATTAATGATGACTAGGATGCAGTGGAGACAGCTTGGGCTGCGCAAAAAGGAACAGAATGCGGCATAATAAAAAAACAAAACAATACGTACTTTCAAAAACACCGGATACCACCATATGGAGTGCATTCCGGAGATGCACTTTCTTCGCATACTTAGTTTTTGTTTGGCGTATGCCCGTATAGAATTGCCAGATAGTAAGCGATAAAGCTTCCATATACAGAGAAGGTAAAATACAAGTCGGTGCCATAAATCCGGTAGCAGATGGTATGCCGTTGGCCTGAGCGGAAGAATAGGAGAGTGGTGCTCCTGGTGGTATAATGGGGTAACCGGGGAGCATTCTCAAACCACGATTTCCGCTGACAATAAGTGAAGGTGTAGCGTGATTTGAAGTACCTGGGTTCATCGGCTGAGACCGACCAACTGGCGCATGCTAAAATCGACGGGAATAGTAAGCCCGGACAGGAATGAGTGTTTAGATGAGTTGTGCACGGTTCACGACGGTGAACAGTACAAGAAGCAGTAGGAGATAAAAAATGAGCAAGTGGAACGTATGCAAGTAGTAAGCAGTAACAAAGTTGTCATTCAACCATGAACTCAGCAGCAGCTTCGACCCACTTGCGCGGAAACAGGTTCTGGGTTCTCCTCCCCAGAGGCAAGATGGCTGTCCAGAATGAACGTAGAATTACGAGTAAAAGGATGCAACGAATAACCAGAGTTTGCTGGAAATGTGGATTGGGACTGAACAAGATGAGGAAGAGGTCCCAAGGGAGGTGATGAATGGGCGGTGATCGAAATGATCACCGCTTGATCCCCCATCTGACAATCAGCCATATCTCGCAGTTCCATTTTTGATCGCTTTCGACTGTTTGCTTGCGTGTCTGCAGTCCTAGATGTTTAGGAGAAATGAGTAGTGTAAGCAAGCAAGAGACCGCTATAAGGTGGATGATGGGAGACAGCAACGCGAAAAAGAATGGTGAATCAGAAAGCGAAAGTTCACCAACTCCAAAGTGCTAGGTGCAAGATGACCTAAATGAACATAACATGGTGGCAGGATGTTCGGAAAATATCTGCACATTCCACTGGCCTAAAGTATCACCATACGACAACAAGGATAGGATTAACAAATAAAGAGCAGATATGAAAAGGTGCTTAAAAGATGCAGAAAAAAGGAAACGCAACGAGATGTATGACTAAGTTCTGTCATAAGGTACAATCCACTGCGTGTTGCTAGTGTGGGAAACTCACAAGGGCCGTTACTCCTGAAAACCACATTAGATAGATAAAGAGTACTGTTGCTCTTATGGCGGTTTCCTGTATACACGGCAAAGCAGGTGGAAAGAAAAATTTGATTAAACAGCCATTCTGATAAACAACTGGCAAGTTTATGGTAGTCATAGGAAGAGAATTATTACCAGGTTCGTTAGAACACGCCCAAACATCCCGAAATTGTGCCAAACAAACTCAATCTACGGCAAGATGACCACGAGTTCGAAGTAAAAGTAAACAAATCTCTAAGCGCAATAATATACGAGTCAGTAGAAAATTAAATATAATCTGAACCATCGTACAGGGAGTTTGATCACTAAAAAGTTGCGGCAGAATATGCATATATATATATATATATATATATATATATATATATATATATATATATATCGGTCACGAATAAAAATGGGGTCAACGCATGTTCTGCTGTGTCCAGCAGATTGGCGAAGACAAAGGAACCTCGCAGGTTACCATTCAGTTGAAAACTGTAAGTTGCTAGTAGAATTAGCATTTGACAACCCCTGGTTATGATCGATGGAGGCGTGGACTCCAAGAATGATGGAAATCATGTCTTCGGTTGCAGTTAGTGAAATGTAGTAGAGTTATGTAGGCAATACATGCAGTTGCTCAAAGGAAACAAATAGATCTGACTGGCGCACAGTTGTGGACTAAGCCTAAAGGTAACAAACTTATCATGTAATAAGACGGCGCGCGTTTGAGCCTGCATAGGGGTAGGGCGACTGGTGGTGGTTGCGTGGCAGCGAAGCGTCGTTACTGCGTACCGGCGTACTGCCGATGCTTTACCTGACCTAAGCGACCAAATGCACTGTGCACCTGACCTTGAGTTCGGGTTCTAGAAACGACGCGCACCTATTACAAGCGAACCTGTACGCCACTCGAAAGGATAGAGTATGCTTATAAGAAGCCAGAGCGTAAAGTTGAATTTTCCCTTTAAGTACAACGCGTTTCGACGGAAATTTAAGTGAACATGGTATCTCAAATAGAAGAGATAACGGCAGATGACAAGTGGAAGAAGAAAGGGATATAACGCTAGAAACTATAGATACGAGACTGGACCTAAATGTGGTGCGATTTTTTCCGTGCATCGATGATCCATTGTGCTATGCTGTGTGCTGGTTTTGCACCTACAGAGCCGCTCATATCAGATTAGGCAAAGGCTTGACGAACCAAGTCACCTGGCCCACCACGTTAGGGGTTGGAGCGAAGGTGACTGCTTACTCCATAAAGGTGATTCTCTGTAGCCCAGTGCAAAAACCCAGCTGAATTGCGGTTAGGTATTTTAACCAAAGGTTTTAGTTGAGAAGTTTAGTCATTCTCTTAGGAAATCTGACAGCATCCTGCCTACGCGATACAATGGTCTATTCTCCAAACAATTTATTAATGCTTTAACCGTCGCAGATGCTAACCAACGGCGCCCTACCTGCAGCATCGGGCAAAGTGGACATGAATGAGAACGCTACTGCTTAGGCCTTCTAATCTGCCTATTCCCACTCTCACGCTTTTTTCCCTATATTATCCCCTTCCAAATCGAACTATATCCTTGGCTTCTTAACCTAAATCTAGGCCCTCTTCTATTTTGTTTCGGTAAGCGCTCGCATATTAGTTTCGACTCACACGCGACCGCGAAGCGCCGCTCCGGTTCAGTCGGTAAGTCCACGCTCAACCAAGCGCGCAACGTCCGTTCAAACATTCCTATTTCGAACACTCGATCCTGCTTAAGACTGGCGTGCACCGTACACATTTTGTTACATAAGGGCCAACGAAGGCACTTACCCGAAGGTTAGAGACCCTGCCGATCGACACCTGCTATTTATCTGAAAACCGACTGCAAAATTCCAGCTCTGTGCTTACACTGCGATCCTCTATATGCGACAGTGGTATCTTTAAACGCCGGGTAAACTAGTGTGGGCATTGCTCCCAGCCACTGGGCTGAAACTACCTTGATCGATTGGATCCCAATAAACAACCGAGCGTCCGCGGCCGGACTAGCCGGCGCTGTCGGTCTCGAAGTCACGTGGGGACAAAAGGTGTGTGTCATTGCGGCCCATGCCCCGCCAAACTGCAGCAAAGACTCAGTGAAAGATTATTTATATCACCAACTGAAGGCGCTTTTTTATTACATAAAACTACGGATAATGTGGTGCTTATTGGTGGTGTGAACGTCCAAGTTAGATAACTAACAACAACAACAGTACATCAGCAAGTTGAACTGATGATTCAATGTCATACAACCATAATGACCTATGAAATGAAGAATAATAAGAGGGAGTGATCTGAAAACCTTAATGCTCTAAGCAAACATTTCGGGTCAAGAAGCCTACACCTTGTCAACAACATGCCATCAAAGACAGCTGGCTATCGTGCATCAGCGAGACAGATTTCTTGTGGTTTTCACTGCCCCGCGTCATATTCATACAGTATCCCGAAGATAACAGCACTAAAGATTTTAAACATGCAGTCAGACTAAGAGACGGCAGCAGACGCGCCACCGGTGCCGACTGCGAGCCATGTCCTGTAAAGTTCCGAGCCAAGCACAAGGCGGGTCACGTGGACTCCAGCCCAGAAAGCGAGACGGATCGATGGCACCTAATTTGTTCGTCAGTGAGTTCATTTCACGCTGCCGAGTTAACTTTTGTCCACCTCGAGCATTGCGCCACCTTACATCTGGCAAACAAAACAAGGCCCTTCTCGGTAAGTGGTGATCGGGCATACGTAGTACATGCCCAAAGCAACGCAACTTACTTAGTGCTAGCTGTAGTTCTAAGGAACTAGCTTGATTATAACTGCCTGGCACTCGCCTACCCACATCATCGTTGCGGACACTCTGGTGCCATCCAACACTAGCAATGCTCTTCAGACAGCGATGATCAAAGACTTAAAGGCGCGGCAGATCGTCAGACGGAAGGGGCCAAGTCTCACTCCCAGAGAGCAGGACGGTCCTCACCGTAGCCTAGTAAACATGGCTTTTCGGAAGAAAGTAAAATCCCTTCTGTTGCTAAAAATGCCGCAGGTTCAAGAAGGCAGTTCTGGCTGTTGCAATGCGTAAACTGACTTCAGTTGTTATGCGCCCATTGTTGCTGATGTAGCTGCCGAGGTAAGCGAATCGATCAACCACCTCGTTCCTCGTTATCAAGGGTCAACTGGAAGACCTTACAGTAATTGCCTACTGCTCCTGCTTCCTCTATTTATTGAGCCCGACTGGTTCACCAGGCTTCCTTGTCAGCAGGCAGGCTCCGCTTTAATTCGCGCCTAATAGCCCGTCTGGTCACATTGTGCTCAGAGCCAGTTGGGAGAATTCTTCTGGATTCCAACAGGTTCACCGACCTTTCGGATACTCAGTGACTGGTGCGGTGGCGATTGATAGTGCCACAAACAGAGGCTCCTGTAGCATGCATGGCGGCCGAGATCCTATTCCACTGGAGCTCAGTGTCATTAGGACAAGAGAGCGAAAGTATGGTACGCTAATGGTGTAAGTACCCATAATCATAACAGTGGGCAGTTGCTACATCTACGTGAAAGTGCTCGTTTATTTTTCGCGAGCACTAGATTCCGACATAGCACCTGCCGGAGGATGACATGATGCGCACTAGCCTCGGATCGGCCATGAATGCAAAGGGATCACATCACGATCAGTAATAAGTGGAAAGGATTTGTCTAAAACTGTCGCTCCACTTGGAGTACGAGTACGGACTCCGACAAGGCACTTATATGTGCCTACTTGCGTGTGCGTTTCGGTGGACCTGCGCAACAGCGTTGTGAGCATATAGATACTTGCCAAATGGCGAGCGCAGATCTTCTGTATGCGTATCAGTGTACGCATTGCCCACTGAACACGAATGAAGATCACTGATCGCATATCCCCAAAAGTGTCGGGCTGTAGCCTTAAAGGTCACAAGACCGCCATGTAATCCGAGGGCGCGGATCCGAACCTGCGTAGAGATCGAGCGACCCTCGCAGTATCCTTAGCCCACGTGAAACTGGTGGTGGTTACGCGGTAGCAGAGCGTCAATACTACGTAGCGGCGTTTGCAAAGGTGTGTAAATGTTCCGCAGGAGTCATCATGTGGTAAATCAAACCGCAAATCTAGACCTACATAGGGTCTCTAAGCAGTCTCTAACTTACAGATGCTCACCGACACCTCCAGGCGCGAAACAATAAAGCAATGAGAATCACAAAAGCCGCAGGGTACAACTACGTGCTAGTCTGAGACCAGAAAGTCTGGTGGTCTCATCGTACATCGGAGATGCAAACAGCCGCTGCCCTTCGTAACCATACGCGACGACAATGGATAATCCCGATAAGACCAGGTCTCCTGTTGTCTGTTTCCCGTACCAGACGGAATAACTTAAGATGGTTACCATGGGAAGCGGCCGTTTCTACTTGTCAAAATGCTTGGGGCTTTGAGCCGAACACTATGAAAAGCAGTTTAATCAGGCAGGATGACCATATTCTTATTCGACAATTGAGCGCCCTTCTCTCTGAGCCGTCTCTTTGGATTCGCTCTTACTCGCGAAGTCGAACGTGAGATCAGGCGGTTAAAATTGAATAAGATCACCGAAGCAGATGGACTTCCTTCAGCCCTCTTCAGATTCGGATGAC